ACAATATAATTTATGCACGTATAAAGCATCAGTGTGACTGGAGAGATGAAAAATTGTCTTCAGGAAACCGTAGAAAAATATCTGGTGGCCAACACTCTAAGTATCCCCGACCTAACCACCGGCCAGCTCGTCCAACGCGGCGATAACAAAAAAAATTATTGAATACTATTTCATTATAATTACATATATATATATATATATATACATTTTTCCATATTACGATAACGTCGTCACATATTAGGGTGGTCCTTATTTTGACTTTTTTATTTCTAGTAAAAAAATTAATAGTGTGGTACTAGTATGTTTTATGGATACACTTGAAACAATATTGTAAATGCCAAGAGTCATTTTTCTCTACTCCTTCCACCGTTTAAGGTCAGGCGCTTTCCACTTGTCTCGTGGATACATATTGAAAGTAATATTCTACTGCTAAACATTTTACAGTAAGTCTACACGTCTTCAACCGGAGTTGTGCATTATTCGAAAACGAATACTCTGCAAAAATCTATTACCTAATACCAATACTATACTTATAGCCTACTGGCCAATACCTGTACTTAATAAAAACCTTCTAAAATATGGAAACAACCAATCGTGAAACAAAATAGTATTAACACGTTTATATAGTATGCTTTTATTTTTTAACAAGCAACAAACGAGTGTATTGCATTAGCACAGTCCCAGGAATCGTTTACATTATGTACTTTTTGTCTTTGTGCATTTACTATGAACTCAACGTTGTGCCAATAAAGTAAAACTATAGCCATTGAATCAAAGCGTTAAAAGTTTTTAAAAAGTAGTCTTATTGTTATTCATCGTTTTATTATAATATTATATAAATATCGTTAAACAAGATGAAATAAAAATAAGCTAACTCCTGATGTTCTCGATAGCTGTTAATGGTAGCTTTACAATTTGCCCACGTTTAATTTATAATTAAAGCGTTCTCAACGTTTTTTAAATCGACGGTTAGTAGTGTAATTATCAAACTTAATTAGGTACTATGTTCGGTTATATTAGTGTATACATAAGGATTACGTTCTATGCAAATTGGAATATTATTAAAAAATTAATGTTGTGGGAACCGAACCCTATACGAATCACTTAATCGAAAAATGACATATGCCCAGTTAAAAAAAATGATTTTACATTAATATGCTTTTTATAATGACCACATTATAACTGTTAATAAAATAATATATTATTTTTGATGTGTTTAAAAGCAAAGTTTTAAAAGGTTTTCCCTTTAGACTAATACTCTTTTAGTTACTAAAACTTAGTAGATGAATGATAATAATTCTATGTACATTTTTTTTTTAATATAAATTTTGAATAATAATAAATATACAATGACAATAAAATTAATATACATAAATATATATTTCGGCATTCGTCTTGAACCGCAACATTCGAATCCGCGTGTACACTGAACACTGTAAGTGTGTCGGTTCACTGGCTTTAGACTTGTAGATGTAAGGACGTGTCGACTTAAGCAGTTAACCGGACGAAGGCGAAGATTAACGACCAGAGAATTTTGACAGTCGAAACGATACGAGTTGCCGGGTACTGTTAGCCGCGTCGTTATGCTTTCGGCGTAATAATAATTATTGGGGTATTTTTAGTGCGGTGTCGAACACATTATAATATATTATTATCATTATTATCATTATTATTATTATTATTATAACCGGACAACGGTAGTAATATCGTTATTGCCGTCGTCGTGCACCACGTTGTTAGGTATTCGTGGATCAGATTTTATAGTAGTGCATAGCGGCTGTCCGGTTTTTGGATCACGGCCAAGCTAGCTATCCGCGTCCTCCGGCTGGCCTCGGCCATCGTTTGCCGGGATTGTGCGGGATCGGTGCAGCGACTTAAGCGCTCCGGTTTTGAACTTTCCCGGGGTGGGGGGGGGGAGGGTCGTCGCCGGCTGCACTTAATAGCAGGTCCACGACGGAAAACTCACGGTGTGAACGTTATCAAATCCTTCGGCCAAACGACGACGGACCGACGACCCTTTTCGCCACAGCCACCCTCCCCTGGTTTTAATTACCCTCGAGGTCCGGGCGTCGACGGCAGAAAAACACGTCGGCAATCGATCGGCGGGGGTGGGGGGAGGGGAGGGTACGAGCGACACGGCGGAAGGGGAGGGGGTGCGATAGCAAACACGAAGAAAACCCGCAGAACCGTCTATTATTCATGTACCACCGCGGGAGGAACAAACGCCGGCGGGGCTGGAGACCTCTCGCTCGCTGTATGTCGCTGCGTCCGGTAATTGATGATGCCGTGTGTACAGCGGTATACACCGTCACAAAAGATGAATTTTTCCCCGCCACTGCCCGTACTTCTTGCTCTGTCCGTTGCCGAAAGGGGTAGACACACATTTCCCCCCTCCCTCCCCCAGCTGCACGTCATATAACGTCGTGTCCTAACGATTTCGGGGGGGATATCCTCCCGCTAAACGGGCGTGTATTGTTAAAACCCAAAAACTACGATATATATATATATATAATATTGTTATGTAATTTTGCCCGCTATGTGCCGGTGCAAAGAAAATATCCGAAAATCCGCTTGTGTACTTGGCAATAGTATGCATGTAATAACAGCTGTCCTAGACGTTTGCGTTGCTAAACAAAACTCTCGGTTAATGACTCGCAGTCCGCCGAGTGCATATAAATTCTGCGATAACCGTACCCGCAAAGTTTAGCTTTGACGTTTTTGGGAAACAATGGCGGTATTGGATTTTAAGACTGTGTGTGCGCGAAATGACACCGGCACCGTTAAAAGTCTCGGAGGACGTGTGTATAATTAGAAATTCTATTAATCACCACGCGGGTTCGGCAAACAAACTTTAACACAACCGTAGTATATTATTCGCGAGGACTTTATTAAGAAACTATATGGTGCGCGGCGCCGATAACGGGCGGTGTCGTTATAAAAGATACCGGATGTAGTGTATCCTGTGTATGCCATATGTTGTACAAAACGCTGATATCATCATCATCTATTGGTATTGCCATTATGTAAACGGGTATCGTTAGATCAGCTGTAATTTGCTGTACAACGGTCGGCCGCGGGATGTGATCGATTATTATTATTATTATTGAAACATTAATACAAACGCTAACCGCTGGTCCCAAGTAAACAAACTCTAGCCCAACCTATGACTTTGATGTTCGTTCCCATATTTTATAACTTAACCGTAAGGCTTGTTTTCTTTTTTTAAATGTCAAATACATAAAAATGTCACCAGCAGCTTGATACCTTCAAAGTACTAAAAAAAAAAAAAACGAATGGTTAGTGAAGTATTATGGAGGCAAAAAACGATTAGCCACGTTAATAAGTTTTTTTTTTATAACAGTCACCACGGTTTTCTACTTGGCCGTAAAGGCATGGACCTTTATATTTGAACTACTAGTGGTTTATGAAAGGTACATTTATATACATTGTATTTTACCTGTTCAAATGCTACAATGTGCATACATCCTTTTATACAACAGTGTTTACAGTCTAGGCATAACCCAGCATCATGGGCCTAACACAGTAGCTAAAATAAAATACACCGATTTATTATTTTATAATATGTAATCGTTGAGATGTATTGAATGGGCTTTGGTTAAAATCATAAACGAAAATCTTTACATTCAAGTCATAATCTTTAACGAAATCAGAGCTTATAAGGGCTAGAAGTAACGTAACTAGACCCATACCTATAACCCAACAAGGTTATACAAAGTAGTATACGTCTTTCATGTTTGATTAAATTCATAAAATGCAAGATATTTTTAATGTTCTTAATGTGTAAGACCCTATCTAAGGACTAGTAAACATAAATTTACTAGCGATTGTATCTGTTATAACTTATAACTATGAAGTACAAAATGCAAATATATTATAATTGAGATGCTGAAGGTTTTACATTAATGATGTTATCTATATTGAGACTAGTGGTGCTCAAATTCTTAGGACTTACTTGAAGGTACATATTATTATTTATCAATTTGTTAATCGGCAATCCGTACGCTTTATATGCGGTTAGCGTTCAAAGTGTCATTGCACTTGTTTTGTACATTGCAACACTAATATATTCTATTTTGTTCCAGTATGAAACCTATACTTTTTATACCGTTTGGGGAATAAAACAAATGTTTGTTTAAAATTATTTTCAACTGTATTGGAAAGAAAATATTGAAACCAACAAAATTACCGGGGTGGATTTTTCAAGGACACATTTTCTTTTGTATGATAATTTTTTTTAGATTTTGATGCCAAATATATAATTACAAGAATCTTAAATTAATAAGCAATAGAACATATTTCACTGTTTGTCATCAGATATTCTTATGACTATTTAATGTCTTATACTTGTACACTTATAAATTAACAATTTAAGTTTTCTTTTTATAGATACGGAAAATGTATGTGAACTTACCGCGTCTCATCTTTATACTTTCTTAAAAATTGTCACATATAATTTTGGATTTTTTTTTTTCAATGAAAAATAGCTTAAATATTATTTCACACGAGGCCACTATTCGAAGCCGCGTTCTGTGGCAAAGGCAACCACCGTCACCATCTGTAGGGCTGCCAATCTGTCGCTAGTAAAACCATCCATAACACCCAGGCGTTTTTTATTCGCCGGGCTGCTTCGTGTGAAAGTACCCTAAAAAAACGAGCTTGCTCAAAACATTTGCACCCGAAAATTGTATAAAAAATGCATCATTTCCTTTAAATGTGATAAGAAAACATATTTTATGGAAGGCTTAGCGATGCACACAAAAACGACGAGGGCAGGGGGGGGGGGGTAGGCAGGCGAGTGTAAAAGTCATACGCATGGGACGTTGCGTTGGCGGGTATAACTGATTCTCGGATTAAGTTGTGAAATACCTAACGTACATTAGACAACTAGGATTTACTTTTGACACATTTTTCAGCTCCACCGTTAAACGACGGTAAATGTCTGCCATTCATAATGGGATTATGTGTGTTTTTTTTTCCAGAAATAAAGTCGCCGCAAACGGCATTTCCATTTACACTCCATTGATTATATAATATTACCGCTGCGCTTCATCGCCAACAAACAGGTGAGCTATTATTATTACACCAGTGATGTATTTAAATTAAAAGCCTCGATACGATGCTGAAAAAGTATGTGATAGGTTTTTTATACGTTTTTTAACACCCAATTTATAAGACTATTTCTATATCTGCTTAATTGGCAGAACAAATTGAGCAGTTGTAACTTGTATAATATTATATTGTATTCCTTTACCGACTAAAATGTAACGAATGAGTAAAATATAACAAAAAAAGTTAGAAATCTAATTAAAGTAGGCTGCCTGTCGCAGTTATATAATATATTTGTATTTTTTACGGTTAGAAGAGCGACCAACCGCGATCTATCACAAGTTGAAAGTACATGATTACCTACGTGAAAACTTGTAAAAAAAAAAGTCTTGGAAATTCTACTTGGTTTTGTTCGCAAAAAGTCGTGCATAATACATAATTCAAACGCTTCGAAACAAATGTTGCCTCGTATTCGTGTATTTATGACAAACTGCTTGCTTTTGAAATAAATACATATCATAATATTTTCATTAGAAAAAATATACACGTTTCGCTTTTTAGAAAAAATGAACGGTGAATTATTATTATTATTTTTTTATAACTACAGTAGTTTGATATTTTCATAGCTAGTTCTGTCGGTGAAGTTATTTCCATACACAGTGCAGCATTAACTTCGGTTATGGAGTTACTTTCAAAGAAAACTTGGACACATTAAGTAATAAGCATGTACCACCGCATGCACGCCAATAAAAACGCTCTTATAGATTTTTTTTTGTTACAAGTAAAAAAAAAAATTCCGTAATCATTTAAGTTGTCTCCATAAAAAATTATTGCAAACTCATTAAAAAGAATCGTTTTGGGTTTATAAACTTTAACATGGTTGATTTACTATACGCGTTTATCTCTATACATATATATATTTATAGTAAATTCAATTTCCTTCTAAATCTAATTTAGCATTAAAAACGCGCGACGCGAACGCCGGACGTTTTTGGAAAATTACTTTTATTTGCAAATTTGAGTTTAACAAAGTTTTTAATGCGCAGAAAAGCGGTAATACCTAAAACACTACAAAAACTTTCGGCTCTACAAAGAGTATTGTACACGTGGGCCATCGATACACCACAGTGACGTATTATTACTAATATAATATCCCAAGTATACTGTACAAGTCACCGTGTATATATATTTATACATAAAACATCCGGACAGGAACAATGGAACGAATTTCCGGTTCGGCGAGACTTAAGAATACACGTCCGATTGCTTAACGCGAGCCACCCGATTTATCACTAATACAGGGTGATGCATTTAACGTTATTTGAGAATAATTTTGAAAAATTGCATTTTACTTTTTGGAGACATTCAATTTTCTAATTGAATGTCTCAATTGATACTTTTCTAGAGTTCTAACAGTAACTTTTGAAACTTTAATCGTAACGTATATGTGTTTTATTAACTCCTCGAATTAATAACAGTAACAACAGATATCGGTTGTGTTACGTTGTACATAGTCACCCTGTACCTATATAAGCGTGTATAATTTATTCTGATTAAAACCCAATTAATGGGCGCATAATCGTGCGACATTAAACGTGAATCGAACTCGTTAGGTTTAATAATAATTCTATTGTTTTGGGCGCCGTCAATGGGAATTAGTTTTGGCTGCTTGGGTTTTCAATAAAGCACATCACGACCATTCGCCAAGTTCGCCGGCACGGGGCACACGTTTAAAGGACCTGCACGGCATGGCACGTTATATTATTATTGCAGTATATGTAAGTGAGAGACCGTCTAATATTTATGTGCAACCCGTACCTATACACATATAGCTCGTGTACCTCATTTGTACATACGACGTGTAGTCTAAAAAATTCTAAAATACAAAAAAACATACAATTCAGTGTTGAATGATTATGATAATATGTTCTCCGTTGTCCCGAATGCGGGTCAAACGAGCGTTTCCTCGTGTTTTTGGTTTAAAAATAATAATATTGCAACAAAAAAAGCCATTGTAAGGGATTATAATACGGTAGTAACACAATACGTACGATATTGTTTTGAGGGCAGAATGACCGTTTTTTTTATCGCGTACAATACCTAACTGCCGCCTATGTAATATATGCAGAAAAGTAATACAGGGTGATTCTTTTATCACGAACCAGTCAATCTCTCACCGGGTTTAATTAATAATTTAATTTTTTTTTTTTTTTAATGTTTTGATATTAAAGTTTTAAGTTTAGAGCAGTAGGATAGGTGAAGTGTATTTTTATTTTTATCTGGGTGCATTTCCCAACCGCACTTCCCCTCCCATCCTAACTTTTAAACTCTTATAACTTTAAAAATAGTTGTCCGAAACTGGTTATGGACCAGTCAAAATTAATAATAATTATTTAGTCAGTTAATAATAATTAAGCCCAGTGAGATATTGACTGATAATAATAATATTAACTATAAAATATTACATTTTATTCGGGAAGTATTAGCTACTTACGAACATTTCGAAAGTTGATTGCGTTTACAAAATAGTTTTCAAACTTTTCGAAGAATAAAGTTCATATTTAACCAGGTTTATCGTGTAAGCTTGTCGTTTATTATATTAGTATTAAATACCATATGCCTCATTTTATCTCATCTTTATATGTAAAATTATTGTTTCTGTCGTTTTAATTAACTCAACAGTTAACTTTTACACTTATATCTATACTCATATACGATTGCAAAAATAATTATTAATCTAAAGGTTTATCAACAGCTATAATATACCACTGAATTAATTTATAATGATCATCGCACCTAAAACACATGCATTAGATTATTTTTGTAAGACAACTAAAATGTACATAGTAATAACTGTGTAATTTTTATGATTATAACAAATTTTAATTATAATTATTATTAATTTTACACCGTTATAAACAATGAAAAATTCACATTTTAAACGGAATTATTTTATCGTTACATATGAACAGTAATGAATATTATGATGCCGCTTTTACCTAATGGTGTAAAACAGTATGATGTGCACGTCGTTAAAATGCTTGTTAACAACGAAAAGGAAAATCTAAGGCTCGTTCGTTTTTCTTATTAACATAATAATCGAAACAGTATAAACATAAGTTGTGTGTGTGTGTGTGTGTATAACGAAGGGTACGGGTTTTGTTTTTAACTTCTCTGTTCCCAAACAACGACGTTCGGTTTTCGGCTTGTATCTTTGTATCGACAAAACCGAAACAAACAAATAAGAAAAAGGAACACATATTTAACACGTGTTATGGCGAAACATTTAAGGTGGGGAAAGCCTGGAAATTGATAGAATACTTTACTTGGGCCGCCGAGGCACCTGCATGGAGCTCATGGGCGAAATCGAGGGGTGTGAACGGGACGCCGGCGGTTATGGAAATGTAATTTTCCCCAAGGGGATCTCTATTGCTCGTTTTCTATTCTCGTGTACATGCTCTCTTACCTACTCAAATAATATACACTGTTGTATAGAAGTCATAAATTTGTGCCGTTCCTGTATCCGCTCCTTATCTCCGCCGTTGTCGTTCTCCGTCTTCACACAGACGAATATCATACCCGAGCCCTCTTATACGGCCATGTACATATAGACAATAACAAGTTTTCGTTTGTGCGCTGTATGGAATATCGTAGAATGTGTTTGTATGTTATGTTCATTGCACAAGCCGCCGGTGTCATCGTTTGTCTGAATCTTACACAATATTATATTTAGTTTGATAAAAAAAAAAAAATGCCATTTCGTTTTCTCCCTTTCTTAATAACGCGTTTGATTATTGTGTTTCACAGTTGAGCACACGGATATTGTTTTTTTTCACCCTTACCTGGGCAATGTCTATGCTCGAAAGACCACCGCGAGTGAAAGATGAATATATTGATCACCGTCCATTATGTCGTTCGTAAGGCACCGTGTACAGCACATCCCACATGAGTGGATCGACCTTTTGGCTATTTTCGTTCCGCGCTCCCTTCGGTCGTGGCTTAATACTATTAATAAGTGTTCACCCGAAAAGTCTCGCGTGGTCGTTTTAACCACCTATGGCCAGTCTCGTCGGTATTATCGTTCGCAATAATCGGCATTAAATTGTTGTTTCTTCAGTAACAAGGCTGTTAAAATATTTAACCACACTCCACACGATAATGGTTTATTTTTAAAATAACATTTTAATTCTTTTCAAAACCCCAAACAACTGTGTCCATATAAGAACATGCGTTTAAAAGTCAACTGTATTCGGTAAGTTAAAGTGAAAATTAATTGACCGTCTGATATGAAACCGATGTTAGCCTCGTCTCGCTTGTGGTTAGGTTAGTTTGTGTCAATCAAGGTGTCTGTTCATAAATTAAAATTATGTGTACACACCTACATAATGTTTAAAGTTGAAATTACCTAAATCAATTTTAAAAAAACAATTTCCGATTTAATAAGATCAAAAAGTTTATTTCAGAAAGTTTTCAAGTGCAAACCATTTAGCCGGGCGATGACTGAGTAGACGCTTGTAGTGATGAAAAACAAGACTAAACTCGTATTAAAAGAGCACATGTACACGTACACCATTAAAGATAAATATCGGGTGGAGACGGTGGTAAAATAAATCTCATCCCAAGTCGCTCTGCCCGTCGTCCATTGTCTGATCTTTACTATTAATAAACGTTATTGTTGTTAATGTCATCGACAACCCGCCCTTTACAAAGATTTGATTTCTACATCGAGTTAATTTACTATCTAACCCGGCCACACCTTCGAGCGTTTTTATCTTAATGCATCTCTCCACGGTCGGCGTCAACCGGCACTTTTATAAGTAAACAATCGAAAGGTCTACAAGATGTAACCCGAGCAGAAATTTCATCAGTTTTCCCGCTCGTCTACAGAAAAAGAGTCGGATTTCCTTTGTCGGGTCTATATCGAAAAATAGGACGTTTATTATATTATACTTACAAACGTATAGTGCGTATACGAATTATTGATGATGTTGGAAGATTAACAAAGTTGATTCGGCCA